ACTCCTCTACTTATGAGGGAAACATTAAATGCACTCATCGTTGAAGCACAACTTATCACCCACAAAAACCAGTGAGCAATTTAAAGTCATCAATGATCATATATTATTTTAGAATTGCATTTTTGAGGTGTTTTGCCATTAATGAAAAAAGCAAAATCGTGGCTTCATTGGCTTCCACGGGCAAAATAATATTGACGGCTAAAACCACTTCTTTACGATCGAGTGATGTATGGATGAGATCGCTCCTCCTCTCATTCGCTATGGAACGCGATCGACGGTTGGTTGAGGTTGTAAGACCCTGATGCTATGCGAGAACACTTAGAACTCATTCATCGTGTGCGCAAGCCACACTGAAAGAACATGCTTACGGTCATTGCAGGGAAGTCCCTAGCTTATACGGCGATTTGCTTCATTTGAAGTAGAGGGCCTTATAGACACAAGTTTAAAGCAAAGGGTGGAAATGAAAAGTTAGGCCCCAGAACTTTTCTGTCTATACCTTTCACAAAGACATTTACACAATAGTCAATAAGTAATGCCAAACTCAAGGCCCCAAATTCTTACAAATTAGCACTATGACAAGATTGTTATTTAACGAGATGTCTACCCTAATTAAACCCTACAATTAGCCCCCCAACTTGTAATCACAAAACCATTGGAAAGTGTGCTTTGCAACGCACCGTTAATTAGTACTCCAAAGGGTTTGATCAGGAAAATAGCTTATTGACACTACGAAATTATAGGATTTGAGTACTTCGACACCCTTTAGGGTTTCGCATGCAGTTGTCGTCCCTAATTTTTTGTTCTAATAACTTAATTTCCAAATGTCTAAAATCGTTAAAGGGAGTTAAATTTCAGGTTATATTATGAACAATCTATTAACTTAAGTACAAGTAATAATAATATCGAATAATAATAACAACAACTAAGAGAATGAATTGAAAGAGCAAATTCTGAAGGCTTCACCGGAGCATATCCATGAGTGGCCGCGCCTTTACAAAGAGAAGGAAAGGAACAACAATCAATTCTAGGCACGGGTGGATGAAGTTTTAGATCAAGAATGGTACTTGTAATGGGGGGGAGGAAGTTTTAGAAAATTATTATTTTTCCTCCCTTCTCCCTTATTTTGGCCACCCTAGAATTTTGTAAGTTCAAACTTTATACAAAGTGTTTTAAGAAGTTTCATTCACACCGTTAATTTTTACTCTAATTGTTCCCTATTTACTCTTTTCTTTTTATTTTTTTTTCTTGTACTCATTATTGCATATTTAAAACCCAAATAAACAAAAATTTGAGTATATTACTTACGTCTATACATTTGGAACAAGAGTAAAAAAAAAAAAAAAGATACATAAAAAATTAAAAAAAAATACGAAATAAAGAGATAAATGGTAAAAGAAAAAGAAAAGTTAGATGAGTTTTAGGAAATTCTCAAAAGCCAAGGGGGAACAAGATTTTCACATTAAGAACCAATGGTAGAGAAGCCAATATTTCCAGCAACTGTAAAAATGTAATGGTGAAAATATTTAACAATGGTTCTCTAAAAATTGTCGTCGTAAAGCTGAATTTTGTAGTAGCATGATTCTTCATGCAATTGTCTTATCAAGATGAAGGCTTCTTTAATTCCCAATTTTATTGTTCTTTTTGTTCCTTCTAATTTTTTCTGAACAATTTTTATTTTGTTTTGTTTTGTTTTAATTTTTTTCGCGCGGTAGGAAAACCTAAGGTAGGGTATCCTGCATAGACATGGCCTAGTTGGTGGGCTGCGGTAAGGCACACACTGCGTCACAAGCTCAGGCGTTCCATACACCCAAGTGCAGCCTCTTCGGCTCTGTCACAGGCCTCGTCACTAGGCAAATGCGTAGGGCACCTCGGCCGATGGCCTGAGGCTAGCCAGCTTGCTTGTTACGCCACCAGCTCCCAACTTGTACTAGGCAATGTCTTTGCAATTTTATCTATTTCAATAGAGATTGAATTGGGGGTGTAGTGTGGGATTGAATTTGTTGGAGGTTCCAACTTAGTTGTAATTCTTAGTCCATGTCCTTTAGTCTCCTTTAATGCTTAAATCCCGTTGTTATTATTATTATGCAATAACCAATGGTCCAAAACTAAAAGATATGAATTCACTCAGTTAACTGAATGATAAATGATAAGGCATTGTCAATTATGCCAAAAGGCATCCCTTATTGTGTTTGTAGAGACACTTCTCAGCTCGAAAATTACTAAAAATATATTGTTGTTTACGTCCCTTGATTGACTTATAAAACTCGTAAGTAGTTAGGAAAATCGGAGACAAATCAAGTATCCAATTTTTGACGTCTTAATATCAATTGGTATCTAACTAATCACATTATGATATGTCATTTAATAAACTTAAATATCAAAGTAAGAATTTTTAAATGATGTGACACAATATGATTGATTAGACATCATTTTAGACACCAAAATTGGACATGTAATTTAAATCTAGAAAAAACCATCCAATAAGATCTTGCAAATTATGCTATAACTATCACCAACTTCATCGTCATTTTCAGGAAAAAATGGCAAATACATCTAGGGTCGTTTCTTTCCATCTTCATCTTTGTCTTGTTCAGCTTTTACAGCAAATCCAGGTATATTACCTCTCAGATTATATATTTGATTCAAGAAAATTTAACATATCATCTTTTGGGCAAACAATTGCCTTTAAAATCGTATGCAACCGACTTGATTATTGAATGAAATTTTCTCATTTCAAAAAATAAAAAGAATCATACATAACCACATATTTTAAAGCATAAATATTTTCCGCTTATAAGTAAGGACACAAATCTCTTGAAGGGTTTTTTTTTTTTTTTTTTTTTTATAGGGAAGTCTCTAAAGCCATGGGGGAGCTTGTACGACAATTTTACCGAAACGGCAACTAGAGGATGAGAAAACATTTTCCTGCAACTGTGAAATGTGAAGGCCAAAACAGTAATAGAGCTTGTAATGGGATATGCATGATTTTGGAAAACGCAAAGAGTGGAGCTTGTATGCAAGTAAAATTTTATCATCATCTTATACCAGCATGTATGTGTAACTTCGGGTGAACCAATTCATACCATTTTCGTTTTTGAGAAAAGTACAGGGTTTACCATGATTTTGTACAAATCTATTATTTATGTCGTTCTAAATAATTAAGTGCCATAATGTTATTTTATTTTTTCTTTATTAATTGAATGTCAATTAGTTTTTTTTTTTAGTGGAGTGACATAAACAATATTTTTTTTCCATGTTGAGTATTATTTCTGGGTTTTCCCTTTCTTTTTACAAATATTTCCATAAAAAAACATTTTCTTTTACAAATAAATACATCTAGGGACATGTTTTCCCTTGCTATTTTTTTTTGTCTCTGTCTTTTATTTTTCTTTTTAATTTTACGTTTTCCAGCAAAAATAATTGGTCTGTAGTTTTCTTTCTCCAATATATAATTGGATCTAACAAATAAAACCAATCATCACTTCTAAGAGCACAAGGGCTAGCAATTTGTATCGCGTGTCGTTTTTAGATTTGTTCGATTATGGCATGACATGATTCGAGTGAACACAATACCACTTGATTAATAAATCTGTCAAGAACCCAAACATAGACAAAAAAAAACATTTATTACATGAGAAACATAGCACAATACGCGAACACATTTATTAAATGGGCTGCAACGAGTTGAAACATGGAAACACTTATCAAACTTCACACCCTCCGAAACCGTGAAGCCTTTTTAATCTTAGAATCCTCAATCCCCTCCACAACCCCAACCCTAACTGCCCCGTAAGCTGAAAATTTAACTTGTACAACTTCCACAAACCGAATCTCGTCTAGTAAACTTTGCCCCATCCGAGATTCCAAATCAACCAACTTGTCATCGATGGACTGCAGTTTCCACCATCCACAGTTTTAGCATCTGCAGACACTTCACTTACAATCCCAGACTCCTTTGCCACCAAAATCCTCCTTTTCTTGCTCCACTACAGCCTTTTCGTTCACTTTTGTATTATGCGAGTCTAGACTGTCCAACAAATGAGTACGTGCCATCTTTTAAAAAGGGATTTTAGCACAAATCACCTTTTTTTGAAGGATGTTTTTCATAAATGGCCGAAGTTTTACAAAATTGTAAAAATGGTAATTTTTGTTAACTTAGTGGTAAATCATTCATTGACTCAGCGGTTAATCATTGATTGATTCAGCAGTCAATTATAATTGATTCTAGTTTATCACCGATTAACTTGATTATTCTTTATTATTAATCAACATTAGTTAATGATTAATTTACATCAATTAGTAATTAATTAATTTTAATAAACAAATTACATGTTTATTAATGACAAACCATTGATAAATTAATAATAAATCGGTCAATCATGATTGACCGTGGGTTATGACACGACAGCACGACTCGAAACGACACAAATTTCATGAGTTAGGGGTGAAAAAAGAACTTTGGGTCAAAATTGAGTTGACTTGAAATTGACACGAAAAGCACGGGTCAATCTCGAGTTGGACCCGCCTAACCCGAACACGGCACGAAACTCATAAAAAACTAATATATATATATATATATATTTCATTATATATTTTAGATTTTATTGTAAACTTGTGATATCATGATAGTTATACTCAAAATCTTATACTATTATTTGTGTAATTTTAATGGATTTTATTGTATTTTAACATGTTATGAATTTTAAGTTATTTTAAATAGGTAAAAAAACTAAAGAAAAGTATATAATTTGTGTGTAAATTTCGGATCACGAGTTATTTTCGTGCCGTGTCGTGTTAACCCGTAAAGTGGTCGTGACGTGTTCGTGTGGCGGTTTTTTAAAAAAATTCGTATCACGAGTCTTGTTCATGTTGACTATAAATTTAAAAGAAATGACCAAAACATGACACAAACACAACACGTGATACGAATTGTCACCCCTAATCATTGATTGACTCACGTAGACAAAGCTGCCATTTTCATAAAATAAAAAAAAGTTCTGCCATTTATGAAAAAAGATGGTTAAAAAAGACCACTCAACACAATTTCCCCTTTAAAAATTCCCTCTTTGAAGAAGAGTAAAGTTAATTTTCTGTGTGAATCCAAACTATGAGAAAGAATTGCAACCAAATTGTCCAACATGTGGTGAATGAAAGAATATACTCTGTTACAAGAAATTCATCGATCCTCTTTGCCCTCGAGCGATTTCTCTAGGTGCTCATTCTCCCTCATGATTGAATCAAGATCAGCCTGCAGTTTGTCCACATTTAAGCTTCGCGAAGCCATGGTTGCAAGCTTCTTCTCACGCTCAGCCACTTCTCGTCGTACTCTATCTGTCGCCAAGATTTTCTCGGAAATCTGTTCAAAGCTCTCGTGGATGCTTGTAAGAAGCCTATATGCCTGTCTTCCAACTGGATCCTTCTTAGCTTCCCTGCAGATAAGACCTCTTCAGTTGAGCAAGAAAGGACTCCCATAATTTTCGCATAGAAATTTAGAAGTGAAACATTACTGCAAGTCCAAACTATAAAACGCATAATGATCAATGTATTATATAAAGTATCTTCAGTAACGCTGTGAACATATTATTACCTAAATACTATCTCATCCACCACGGCGTAGGTTCTATGCAGACGTTCTTGGATGGAATTACTCTCTAACTGAAGCTCCCTTGTATCTTTTAATATCAGCTCTATATCAGTATCTTGTTTCCGACAGTTCTTCGTGATCTCCTTCACACGATCAATGTAGGATTTCCTTGATGCCATGTTGGGTTGCTTCTCTTGTAGTTCTTTAGAAAGTTCAGAAAGTTCGTCCTTCCTGCACAATAGCGATTAAAAATAAGCAGGCATCAGGGAGGTGTGTCAACCTCATTCCTAGGCAATCTTTGCATAGTATTAAGGATAAAACTTTCAGAATGTAAATCGGTTCATTCATTTATTGCAAGAATTCTTACCTCTTTTCCACATCGGATAATACAGTATGTGTTTCTAGCTCAATCTCTTTCAGCTTTGAAAACTTTTCTTCAGCCTCTGGCCTGTCTGAATACAATTTTTTTTGAAGACTTCTCTTCTCCTCTTCCAAAGGTTTTCTGAGAGCCTCCCTGTAAAAGATCATTAACACTAGAAAATTAAAGTTACATTAATGTGCTGGACTGATTAGTCAATCTCATTCGAACGTCTACAAACTTTGCGACCTTATTCAGATGCATAGTTCAAGTGGGCATTCTTTTCGTAGGTTTGGGTGAAAAACTTGGAACTAAGATTAAAATTATTGTGAGAGACCACAGTAGCAAAAAAGGATGAATTGTGATTGAAACTTATTAAAGAAACAGGGCACGTGTCTTTCAGCCTGTGGTCTAAACAAATTAGATTAGAAATACTAAATTTTCACAAAAACTATCAATTGATTATACCACTAAATGTTCAACTCTTCAAGATAATGCTTTAGAGTCTATATTCTCCTAGAATTGTTAGAAAGTTTACATTTGTATGCAGAATGATCACTTATCTTTTTCAGATGTCAAATCAGCTTTTCAGATGCATAGTTCTTTAAGACTGGTTAGGACAAATTTGGAACCAAATCGATAAACTAAATTTGCATGAAAATCTATGAAATGGTCATACCATTCAGAGTACAACTCTTCAAGATGATGCCTTTTAGATTCTACTTTCTCCCTAAGTTGCTCAAGGTAAAAATCAACACTATGCCGGTCATCAAATGCCATTTCCGCAGCTGCTTTTAACAATTCCAACTCTTCTTTAAGATCACGTGATGTCGAATCCTTCACCATCACCTCATCCACGAAAACATTCTCTTCATCTTGTGTCTCCTTAATCTCATACCTTGTCTAGTGAAAGAAATAAACATCAGTTGCCAAAAAAGCATCAACTATACATTTGAATTTAATAATCTTTTTGCATAATCATCCTCCAAATTCCAAAAAAATACCTTCAAAGAACGATCCTTTAAGGAAATCAAGATCTCTTCGGATGCAGATTCTTCATTGTTTGATTCATTTCTTCCATTATCTGAAAGATCTTGAATTGAATTCTTCAAATTCAATGCCCTAGGCAACCCATTCTCGTCGAATTCCCCTAATTTGTTATCCAAATCAATTTTAGCACCTCTAGCCATGAAAGTCCTCGATTCCGATCCTTCACTCGTAAACCTAAGATCATTCAATTTGGCCTCAAGTTTATTCAAATTATTATCCACTCCATTTTCATCCGTTTTCTCTATCCAATCCTCCAAATAGCTCTCAAATTCATCTCTTTTCACTTCGCTTCCCTCACCAAAAACGTTAAAATCGACAAATTTTCCACCATCCGGAGGACATTCAGAAAGCCTCTCCACCAGAAACCTAATCAATTTACACGACTCCTCCTCAGATGGATACAGGAACTGCCTAAGCGACACATAAATCCATTATAAATACCAAAAAGAAACGAAGACAATTTCACTTTTTTTCTTAGGAAATCGAAATTCTGTTTTTTCTTTAATTTTCCGGATTTTTGGTCACAAACTGATAATTAAAGCCAAAAGATTGAAGAACCGAAGAGTATCAATCTACTTTTTATTTTCTTTTTGTTAACAGGAAAAGAAGGTTCATATTTTCCCGCTAGTCATTTTTTTTTTCTGAATTTCATGCTCAAACAGATAATTCAACGCCAAAAAGAGTGCATTTTTTTCCTTACGAAACCCATTTTTGTCAATGAATTCTATGCTCAAAAGAGATGATTAAACGCCAAAAAATTGAAAAACCGAAAAGTATCTAATCTAACAAGTGAAAGAAGAAAAGAAAATTCACATTTTCTTACGAAGATCAAATTTTTTCCTTTCTATTTTTCATGAACTTTCTGCTGAAACTCGTAATGAAGCCATCAAAACATCGATGAGTGTGTACCTGGTGGGAGCCAATGTCGGCGAGGTATCCGAGATCCTTGATCGCCGAAGCGATGTCCGTACAACTCTTGAACTGATCGGCGACGGAGGAATCGGCGGGGAGGGAGGTCGGAAACGACGCCGTGTCGCCGGCGATGAGGTTGAGAGACTGAGCGCAGATGGAGACGAAATCGGAGGGATCGAGGTCTCCGATGGAGGAGACGTTGGGAGGGAGACGAACGCCGGCGTTGCGGAGGGAGTTGAGAAGTGTTTCCTCAGACGAATCCGCCATTGATGAGATCAAAAGGATTTTGGAGTTTAGAAGGTTTTTTTTTTTTTTAACTGGAAAGAAAACACGAAGGAAGAAAATGAAGGAAGACGACAACAAAAATTGTATCGATTTCACCGGGATGGAACTTCGGAAAACGACAAGGTTAAGAAAACGACAATAGCAGTGAAACGACAAAAAAAGTGTCAAACGACAGAGATGAAAACGGCAGCTTACGGCAAACGACAAGTATTTCAATGAACAACTGCAATAGACAATGTCGATTTCTTTAGGAAATTAAAATTAAACATTAAAAAAAGAAAAAAAGAATTGAAAAATGGTTTGAGTTTAGATTCATTTTCCATCCCCCATATTGTCCATATAGAACTTATAGGAAGATTATTTACTATTTAGACAATTCCAATCTGTCCTATTCTAGAACCAAAAATCAAATAGAAAAAAAAAATCATCATCTTAAGAATCCCTTTTGTATTTCAGAAAAAGAATCTAAGAAGTTTTTAGTCATGTCCTTGGCATGTTTATCAAGAAAGTGACAAGGTTGTGTGAGAAATAATTAAAACCAATCTTTTTCAAGTCCTAAACATTGCATAGGAAGAATGTGGCTTACCAACCAATGTACTGCCTTATTATATGGTCAAGTTTCAGGTTCTTTATGGTTGATTCATCCTCATTAAGACCATTAACTGAGATTCTAGCCCATATCCGGGATCCAAAACCAATGGAGATAAGGAGAGATCATGAGATTGAGGACATGTCTTTGTCACCACAAAGTATGGGGTCCATGCAGATTGCAGGAAGCAATGGCTTTGGTCACGGCATAGAGTTTATGTCTCAAGCATATCTTCGGAATAGGTATTCCGAGATTGACATCGAAAACGAGAATTCTAATACGGGAAATGACCGTCCTCTTCCGGTTTTCCTCAAGGTAGAGAACATTTTCCATCCCTAAATTCATTATAGGACGAAATTTCTCAAAGCGTCCCTGAATTCTTTAATCTCTCTAGTATTCGTCTCTGTATCTAAATTAAGCACATACATTTTAAGATGCGTCTAATCTTAAGTATAACATGGATTTTAATGTGCAAAGAATATTCACATTTGTGCTAATTTGTATAATGCAGTTTGAAGATGTGAAGTTTAAGGTGAGAATTAGACAAGCTACTTCGAACCCGGTCAAAGCAGTGGTATCTAAGGTCTCTTCACAGCTGAATACGGATGAAGACAATCACAAGCATATTCTAAAGGGCATAACGGGATGCATTGGCCCCGGCGAAATTCTCGCTTTGATGGGGCCTTCCGGAAGTGGCAAGACAACCTTGTTGAAAGTGATTGGAGGGAGACTACTTGAAGAAAATGTCAAAGGAAAAATCACTTACAATGACATACCCTATAACCAAGCTCTTAAAAGGAGGTAAGAATTGCCATCTAATTTGAGAAGCTTTTTCTCCCTTTGTTCATTGCATAAAGTAAAATATAGCAACTGCCATTTTCTTTTTCTTTTGTTGGCTTTGGCAGGATTGGATTTGTGACACAAGATGATGTACTATTTCCACAGCTAACGGTGGAAGAAACTCTAGTTTTTTCGGCTTTTTTGCGGCTTCCGAGCAACATGAGCTCCCAAGAGAAATATCAAAGAGTGGAGATGATTATTAAGGAGCTAAACCTTGAAAGGTACATTTTCCATGAAGTAATTTTGCTAGAGACAACTCTTTTTCTATAGATCATTATTGGCGTCTCAAATTTTTTTTTTTGTTTTTCTAAATAATCTCTCATATAACCATAGATGTCGTCACACAAGAATAGGTGGAGGATTTGTCAAAGGAGTATCCGGGGGAGAAAGGAAAAGAACAAGCATTGGTTATGAAATTCTTGTGGATCCTTCATTGTTATTGCTTGATGAGCCAACTTCCGGCCTTGATTCGACCGCCGCAAATAGACTCCTTATGATTCTCCAAGGACTTGCCAAGGTACTATTCTTTTGAAAATTTCCAAACTAAATGGTGTTACAAGTTTCGAAAAATTACACTTGGTTGGTTTAATAAACAGGCGGGAAGGACAATAATCACCACAATCCACCAGCCATCAAGCAGAATGTTTCACATGTTTAACAAGCTTTTGCTAATATCAGACGGCTATCCGGTTTACTATGGAAAGGCCAGAGGATCCATGGAATACTTCTCTTCCCTTCGATTTGTCCCCGAGATACCGATGAACCCTGCAGAGTTTCTGCTTGATTTGGCCACTGGACAAGTCAATGACATCAGTGTTCCCGAAGATCTCTCGATATCTCGAGGCTCTCCTGACTTTGAGAAAGCTGTAGTAAAAGTAAGAACAACTAATGATCCTTTAATTCTTTCACTTTCTCTAAACTATTTTCCTATTTCCCTCTCAACATTTGTTTCCAATTTTGTGTTAGTATCTACAACTCAAGTACAAGACTCAACTGGAGCCAAAAGAGAAAGAAGAGAACCATCGATCAACAAAGACCCCGGAACATCTTCAAGTGGCTATTAAAGTCAAGAAGGATTGGAGTTTGAGTTGGTGGGATCAGTTTTTCATTTTGTCTAAAAGAACATTCAGAGAAAGGTGGAGGGATTATTTTGATAAGCTAAGACTGGTTCAAGCAGTTGGAGTTGCAGTCTTGTTGGGTCTTCTTTGGTGGAAGTCCAAGACCGATACCGAGGCACATCTTCGAGATCAGGTGAATTAGAAAATGAAAAAAAAAGGATCACTCTCACTTATGTCTCCGAATTTTAGGGTCATCCTCGCTTTACCATTGAACTTCAATACTCTCATTTTACCCCTGAATTTTGAATTAATCTCATTTAACTCCTTATATTAGAATTTTCGTTAAAACTGAAGGAAAAAAGATGGAATTAGTCTTACTTAACCCCTTATGTCAAAGTTTATGCTAAAAACGAACAAAAAAAGAGGGAGTTAAATAAAGTCATGTGGTCTTTTTCCATCTATTTTTAACGAAAATTCTAACAGAGGGAGTTAAGTTGGTTTAATTAAAAATTTAGGTGGAAAATGAGAGTTTTTAAACTTTAGACAAAGCGAGAATGGTCATAAAGTTGAGGGGTACAAGCGAGAATAACAAAAACAGTCATAATAATAAAAAATTGATAAGCACTTTGGTCACAACAACTTGTTTCCTGATGCAAAGAAAACTGATCAGCTATGTTCATACCCTGTGATTTAGGTTGGTTTGATGTTCTACACCTGCATTTTCTGGACATCCTCGTCGATATTCGGATCGGTATATGTGTTTCCATTCGAGAAGATCTACTTGGTGAAAGAAAGGAAAGCGGACATGTATAGGCTAAGTGTGTACTATGTCTGCAGCACACTTTGTGACATGATAGCACATGTTTTCTATCCCACATTTTTCATGATCATTCTTTACTTCATGGCCGGCTTCAAGAGAACTGTCCCTTGCTTCTTTCTCACATTATTTGCAATACTTTTGGTAGCCGTCACAAGCCAAGTAAGTTTCAATGATGAGGACCAAGAATAGCTTAAGTGAAAGATTAATGTAATAAATGGATATAAAAAGTAAAAATTGCTCTAGTTTCCTATTTAGTCTTGGTACTTTTATAGGATTAGTGCAAATCTATTTACAATAGTCATATTTTTATTATTGACGTCTTAATCATATATATTCAGAATAGATCAACTTACTCAAATTAAAAACAAAAGGCGCAATACTAAACACATGTGGCAATATCGATTTCACATTAATTTTTTAGGGTCAATTCTAGAAAAATATTTCTATATATGTTTTTTATTTTCTGTAACTAGGGAGCAGGAGAACTATTTGGAGCTGCAGTTTTGAGCGTTAAAAGAGCTGGGATGATTGCCTCTTTGGTGCTAATGTTGTTTCTTCTCACAGGAGGCTATTATGTCCAGGTAATCTACTTAAGAGTAATTCTAGGTGTGCATGCCGTTTTACTAACTTTTTAATACCAACTTACAGGACGAGTGGATTTTCATCTCTTGATTAGTAAATATACTTTTGTTTAACACTAAATAACATAACAATTTTTGAGACGCATTGTTGCCTTCTAATAGAATAATGACAACTCAGTTTCGTCAATATTTAAAATTTGGTAAAAGAATTGGTACGCCTATAGCAATATTTATCTACAGAATTAGTCTTGGAGCCAGTTTAATATTCTTTTTGAAGCCTCAAAAGTTCTTTGCAGATAACATAATGCGAATAGTGTGTTTGGATATTAATGCAATTTTACAGTTGTTTGCTTTTACTTTCTCTATACGTTTACTTTATTTAAAAAAAAAAAAAAAAACATAAAGTAGAACTTTAAAAGCACAACAATCCCAATCTAAAAGTCTTGGTTTCTATTAAATAAAGTACTTCAATAAGGGAATCGAGAATCTTCCTAGTATGAATTGCATGAGATGGAAGTGTCTTTATATGTGTTAGTTTAAGCTATTAAGACACAGTCTAATTTTAATTTTATATTCCAACACTCTTTATCACGTGAGTTAGATAATGAGTAATCATATGCATATATATTAAAGTGAATTAAAAGAATACCATTTTTAGATACTTGAACTCAAGAGCTTTTCTGTTGATACTATGTTACTTATTCTCCTAAACTAACAATATATCTATATTAAACGTGAATGTTCGGCCTAGGCCCCAAAAGGAGGACGAAGGCTTGGTCTGTACATTTTATGAGTAATTAATTTTTGAAAATAATGATAAATGGACTATGAGTCTGGCAGGGTCGATCAGAAAATACTTTTGGGTCTAAATTATCAGCACGGCCCGAAACTAGGCCAATAGACCTAAACTTATAGCTATAATCTATCATCGTTCGTTTTGCAAATTTAAATTTTCAATTCGAGCTGAGATGTAATATTTTTAGAGAGTTTTTAACTGTAGTAGAAAAAGTTAGATGTGACACTTTCTTAGAGTTTTTAACTGTAAAAACTTAAAATTAAAAACTTAAACGGTGAAATGAACAAGGCCATATATATATAGACTCTTGGCAACTCTTTATTTTAGAATATTGAAGAGGGCAGAAAGCTTACTTACCACATTTTTCTTTTGCAGCACATACCGATATTTATGCAGTGGCTGAAGTACATATCGTTCATGTACTATGGCTTTAGACTTCTATTGAAAGTGCAATATTCTGGGGACCAACTATATGAGTGTGAAGGCAAAGGAGGCTGCAGACCTCTTCAGAGCTCCCCTTCCTTCGACACAGTAAATCTCAATGGTGGCTTGCAAGAAGTTTGGGTTTTGTTGGCCATGGCATTGGGCTATCGCTTGTGTGCTTACTTTTGCCTTCGTAAGAGAATAAATATATATATATAGTTCTTTGTAGTACCAATTTTAAAAAATAATAATAATAAGAGAAGCAATTGAATGTAATTTGTATCTTATCAATTCCTTAATTTGGTCTAGAAGATTTACTGTTTACATATGTGCTAGTATGAGCTTATTTTTGGAGTCCATAGCAGCATTCTGCCCACAATTAAATGGGTGCGACTAGTCATTTGGTGAAGTATACAAAGCAATATTTTGCGCAAATTAAAATATATCATTTCAGAACAAAAGATGGTTGAGAACACTATTAGTGTCAAGCACCGCAACTAATAGAATGTGAACTCTAGAGATAGATTTTATATTGTGAGACCGATCTTATATTAATGTGTGGTGCTTAGCATCACTGCTGCTTCATAGAATCGTTCTTTAAGAAATTAAATTTTTTAACTTTTACCCTTTGAATAGTGTGTTGGTTTCTATTTTATTTTTATTTTCCCAAAAGCACTACAATCTTTAATTGATCCGTTCTATTCTAAATATCTACACAAGCGTGGTGGATTGAGCAATTAACAAAGTGTTAGAAATGAAGATTGGAACTAGGAAACAAACTGGCCGGGAAAGTTGATGAAAATTGATAGCTATTGAGGTGAGTCCCACATTGACGAGAGTGAGTCTCACAAATGTATCTCTTTGAAAAAAAGAGTTTTTAACTTTACCGTTTGCTTATGCTTTTATGTTGATATAAGTAATGTAATAATTTTATTTTTTTTTTTTTTTTTTTTTTTTTTTTTGTTGCCAATAAGCACAACGATCCTAAATTGATCCCTTGTTTTCCAAATATCCACACAAACATGGTAGATTGAACAATTAGGAAGTTTTAGAAATGAAGTTTGGAAATAGGAAACAAAGACCTGTTTGTTTCTGTTTTCATTTCCATTTTTTATATTTTTTGAGACTAAAAAATGAAAATGGAAACATAAAATGCGTTTGATCTAAAAATTTTTTAAAAATAAAAACAAAACCGTTCCAAAAAGTGTGAAAGATCATATTATCTTTCATTGGTGGGAAGGATTGCCATGACTACCCACTTACATCCTCTTACTTTTTTATTTTTTTTTCCATGTTTTTTATAAGTTGATTTTTGTGATGTAAGCCTGAAAAAAGTGTGAAAGATCATATTATCAAGAGGAATGCAGTGATTAAGTCAAAAGGTAAATTTGAGCCCGGAAAAGGAAATTAGCGGGGTTTCAGGCCTTTTCCAAAATAAAAAAAGAAAAAAACTTTCTTCATGGAAATGAAGAACGCTGAAATAACAATCAAATGCTTGTTTAGAGCAAGTCAAACAAGGATCGGCTTTTCAATTATTGTCTTTATAATTTTTCCTTGTGTTTCCAGAATTAATAATTATCCGAAATACAGCTGTGCCAATAATTAAAAGGGTTTTTGTAGCACGTTAATATATCAGTATATTAAACTTTTTATTCGTTAAATTTACATAAAGTCACATAAAAATAAAAAATACGTAAATTTAATAGTTAAAAAAACTTAGTCTATTGATACGTCAGACTTGTTAAAAAATCTTTTCAATTAAAAAGATGCCAAAAAATCCTTTATTTATACCTAATATATGTTTTTGAACTCTTCAAATTTTGTATTATTTTTCTTCTGGTCCATGTACTATTTTGATTTAACACAATTATAAAATGATCACTTACCAACATATACCACTACTAATAAAGGCATTGCTTTATGAGTTATAGCAATAGATGGGTCATAGAATGTGAATGTGACTTACTATACATAAGATATCAAATTTTGAGGTACCAAGACAAATTCAAACTATGGCTCTCATTTTTTTTTTTTTTACCTATAAATATATCCCTCCATACAACCATTTTAGCCAAGGAAAATTGGAAAAAGAAAAAAGAAAAACAACAACAACAAAGTAACTTACCGACATAGTTGGTCCCTTTCCTCTTTGGCTAGTTATCCACGTGAATAAAGAGAGCACAGAAAATACAACTCAATTAAAAGGGAAAACAATAGAAAGGAAAAGAATTTTATGATAAGGCAAAAAATATAGTTTTTTAAAGAAGGAAACTTTCATTTATATAAAGAAAGGATATTTTTCAGTACGTCAATATACTGATAGACTAAGTTTTTTGTTTATCAGATTTATATAAAATCACATAAAATTAAAAAGTACGCAGATCTAACGGTTAGAAAAACATGACTTATCAGTATGCTAGGCGTACTAGAGATCTGATAATAAAAAAACAAACAATACAACGTAATGCTAATGACCCATCAAAAGAACATACGTAAACTTGAGATTTGTAAACATGAGATAACCTCAGCACACTATGAATGAGCACTTCTAAGATAATTTTTATTTAATCAAAAAAAGTTAAATGCCACAAATTTTAATATGCTTTAAATATATACTGTAATGTATTTGTTGGTTTAGGATTTACAATATGTTTGACTAATTTATTTGTATGGTATAAATATAACTTTTTTTTCTCAAATCATATTGCTGTGTTTTTCTCATATAAATTTAAATTTAATTTTTTTATTATAATATTTTTCTCTTATATATACAATTTAAATTATAACTTAAATTGTGTAAATAAAAACACCCGAGAGTATAATATTTATGGTGTAACCAAATACGAGATCCTTTGTACTATATTTAAAGTTTATATTTATTTTAAAGTTTGTATCAATATTTGACGATGTACTTTTTAAACTTAGATTAGATCATTTATTTGACTTAACTAGTCACATTATCTTCAAGAAAAAAAATATTATTTTAAAAATAATAATAATTATTTAACTAGTCACATTATCTAAAAAATTTTAAAAATATCTTTCAGAGTGAAATGACATTAATATTATATTTATTTGTAGAAAAGGACAATCCGGCCAAAAAATGTCATAATTATTACCTCATTTATGTCCTCAAAAGTCATTCCGACACCATCACCTCATTCATCTTAATTTGCATAAATAAAATATCCAATCTCACTTCCATGTTCCAACTGACTCTCACATTCTCTCTCTCCATCTCTGTGTCAGAACTGGCACTTTCCATTTCTCACCCCCTCTCTCTCCTCTCTCTCTCTGTCTCTGTCTCTCTTAACTGGCCCAGTTCAGCATAGCACAATCCCATTTCCAATCCAAACATCTGAAAAAATCTGAAGATTCCCATTTGTAAAACCCCAATTGGACTTCAAAATTAAGAACTGTCACAAACTTTCCCCCCTCTCTCTCCTCACTTTCTCTCTCTTATCTTATGGAATTAGTCCCATACTCAGAACCTGACTCCCCAAACCCAGCTTGGCAAGACATGTTCCGATCGGCCTCAATCCGAAAACCCTCCCCATCCCCATCCCCAACCCCACCAACCCACGCGCCTCCGACGGGGGCGCGTGAGGCCGACTCCCCTCCGACCGCCGCCGACCCAGATCAGAAATCCGCCCTCTCCGGCGACCCCCAGGTCCGACTCGCCCTCTGCATCGCCATGGCCCACGCCGGCCTCGCCTTCGCCATCTTCACCCTCTTCGCCGTCTGCAAGCTTCTAGAAGAATACCTCCGGCCCATCCAATGGGCCGTCCTCTGCTCCATCCCCCTCCGGGGAATCCAACAAACCCTCGTCGCCTTTTGGTCGGAGCCCTTAGGTTTAGGCCTCACCGAGACGGTCCTCGCCGTCCCGGTGGCGGTTTTTCGAGTCTTTGTGGGGACACTTGTGGAGGTCAGAGAAGTTTGTGTGAGAATTGTTCTTAGAAAGCCTAAATCAGGAACCCCTAGAAGGCACATAAGTGCCTTTTCCAAGTTGATCCGGTGGCTTGTGTCGTTTTGGATATTCATCTTTGCTTATGAGAGTTTTGGCAGATTTGGATCTATAGCCCTTGTTGGATTAGGATTTGTTTTCAGTGCCACAACCGTTGACTCTACAATGTCAACGGTTTCTTCCCTTAGGAGCATTAGTTTTCCAAGGAGTAGAATTAGTGCCTTTTTCACTAGAGGTTTGTTGAAGAAATTGAAGACCATTGTGGCAATTGGTTTGATTATTGGTATGATTTTGGGCTTAATTATTGGTGTCATTTTTTTCTCTTATAAAATTGGTGTTGAAGGTAAAGATGCTGTTATTTCTTTGAAATCTCATGTTGAGGAGAGCAATTATGCCGAAAAGATTGGGGTTAGGCAGTGGATGGATGAGAATGATTTACCCGGGATGGTTGATAAGTATAGCACACAATTGTATGAGACTGTTTCTGAGCAGATTGATAGTTTGGCAATGCAGTATAACATGAGCGAGTTTGTCACTGGGATTAAGCACTTTGTGATTAAGCAACAGGGTAACTCATCCGCGCCCTCGACGGCACTGATCACCCCTTCGCCCTACACGGAGAAGCTCGTGAGCTTGAGAAACCGGATTAGTAATAGGGAGTGGGGAGAGATTTACACGGAAGTGGATGTCATAGTTAGGGAATTGATAATCAGCAGGGAAGATCTTGTGGAGAAGGCGAAAGCGTATGCGGTTAAGGGTGTGGACGTGTCGCAGCGTGTGCTCGCTAGTAGCACCACAATTCTTGGAGGCGGTGCGAAGTTTGTGTTCTCAATTGGCAATTCCATCATCTCTGGCGCGGCTGAGGTGTTCAATTTTTTGTCTCAGTCAATGGTGTTCTTCTGGGTTTTGTACTATCTGATCACGTCGGAGTCTGGTGGAGTGACTGAGCAAGTGATGTCTATGGTCCCTATTTCAAAATCGGCGAGGGTTAGATGTGTTGAGGTTCTTGATCAAGCGATCTCCGGCGTTTTGCTTTCCACAGCCGAGATTGCCTTTGTTCAAGGATGTCTCACTTGGCTCTTGTTCAGATTGTATAAAATACATTTCTTGTACATGTGCACGGTTATTGCAATTGCAAGCTCTCTGTTTCCGATTTTTCCATCATGGTTTGCTTCTATTCCGGCGGCTTTACAGCTAGTCCTGGAAGGTAGATACATTGTAGCCATTGTCTTGTCCATTATCCATCTTGTGCTTATGGACTATGGCGCATCAGAAATCCAGGAGGATATACCGGGTCACAGCGCGTATCTTACCGGTCTTAGCATCATCGGTGGAATGACATTGTTTCCCTCAGCGCTTGAGGTAAATTTCTATCCTTTTGTTTTTAGTTTTTCTGTTTCTCCATTGCTGCTCCTGGAAATGCATGCTCCGAATGAATCTTTAGGAGTCTTATTGTTTTCACTTTGTGATATGCATGCATTCATTGGCGCGCGATAACACGATTTCAATTTGAACTTTATACGAAAGATCGCCCTGCCTTTTTATTAATACAGAGTTGCGGATTTTCCTTTGAAGTGCTTGGTGTGTCTTAGCTTCTAAAATTTTGCCTTTGATGTTCTGGTTTAATCTTCCAGAAGCAGCCTGGAAATGTGTTCTTAATGAATCTTTAGGAGTTTTATCCTTTCCAGTACCCGATTCGTATTCATTGGCGGGAGATAAACAGAATTTCAACCAAACTTTATATTCAAAATCACATTTTTCTAGGGTAGAACAACTGCATTGATTATTTTGATTGGTTAGGATCTCAACACATGGCTTTCAAAATATCGCGCTCTTGATTACTTGCACAATTACCCTATTATAACTTATTATTAGTCTAATTTGATGCTTATGATCTCCATCGTATAACTTCCCAACTCTTTTGTACTAACTGATGTGCCATGTGAGTTGTCGTTTTTCTGTTGGTGGCTGTTTAAAACATTGCCACATCAATTAATGAAAGAAATTGCATCTACTAATAAAAAGATGACAACCACGTGCCACATCAGTTGGTACTTAAAAGTTGGGATTTGAGTTGGTGTCCCTAGCATTACTCTTTTGCCTTTGATGTTCTAGTGCAAGCTTTCAGAAGCAGCCTGGAAATGCATCTTCTGAATAAATCTTTAGGAGTTTAATCGTTCACACTTCGTAATGCCTATTCATCGCCACGGGTTAACATAACTTGAACCAAACTTTATAGAAAAAGTCTCCTTTAGAGTAGAACAAATGTTGTCTTATTAATGCAGATTTGAACTCCGACCAAACTTCATATAAAACGTATCCTTTTTTTAGGATTTCCATCACATAGCTTTTCAACTTTTGTTATGCTTCAAATGAGAAAATCTACTGTTTTTTAGCTCAAGAAAGAGCTTCGTCAATGGAACAGAACAACAAGGAAAAACAAAACATATACAGCTTCATGACAACACACCAGAAGCTGACTGAGATCACTCACAAACAAGTGTCTAACAGAAACATAAGCGAGAAACAAAACCAATCAAATTAAAATATGTAGCTGAAATGTGGCAGCAAAAAAGTTAATGGCTCTAAGAATGTGTCGGAAAACACAGCCAAAGCCTCACAATCCTTCTTCATAGAAGTCACGTCCAAGGAGACAGATTCACTGATTATCCTTTCAAAACCTTTCGTACTCAAAAACAAACGAGGCCTCGCTTAGAGGCATATCTTCACCACAGTTTGATGACGTAGAAACCATTTTCTCAGTTGCCCTGTTACTATCAGATGCTTATGATCTCCATCGCCATCAAAAATCCCAAACCAAGCCGAAACTCAGTTTGTGCAACCCATTCATTGGCTGGGGGTTATGTAATTTCGGCCAAACTTTATATGCAAAACACCATTTTCTAGGTAGTATACTGCCCTGTATTTGAGACTTGATGCTTATGATCTCCGTCTCCATAGCTTTTGGGATCTCTCTCTCAGCGTTGATTTGCTGCTGCTGATGTACCATTTGTTAAATTTCGAAATGAGAATGTTTGATACTAAATGCAGGTTGCTGTGAGATTCCTACTTGAAAAATTGCCCTGTTATTATAAGCCAAACTCGATGCTTACGATCTCCATCAAATGGCTTCCGAACTCTTTGATTTTTTGCTGTTTGTTATGCCAATTTTTTTTAAATTTCAATTCGAGTTTGTTGATTTCTAGTGCATTTTGTTGTGGAACTTCTAGTATTTGGACATGATTGCCAGTTTTCTTATAACTTGTATTTCTTTCATTCATTCATGATATACTTATGATGCTCGTTGGATTGTTGCGGTTGCTAGGGTGCGATTATGGGGCCACTCATAACCACGGTCGTGATTGCTCTCAAGGATTTGTATGCTGAATTTGTTCTGGATGGACCTAAGGAAAAGGAAAACTAGCAAGTAATCCGCATTTCTCGTGCTCTCGCAGCCTAGTGTCCCGTTCATTCATTAAATTAGCCGCTTTATTTGAATCGCCAAGCATATTAATATTCTTTCACCGTCTGTCTGCAGTGATTTTCTCTACTTAGATGGTGTGTTCATTTTTAAATCAGTCTTTACTTATGTAATTTATAGTACCTAGTGACATATTTTTTGCCTTTTAATCTCCGATTTCCCTGTAAAATTAGATGAGTTTCCTCATTTTTGTTTGTAATTGTATTAAGGTCAGATGGCTGGGTTTGTGTCCTTTTTGGGTATAGTATTTGGGAGTGCATTTGAAGAAATCAAATGTTGTAAATTCTCCATGCACATGTAAAGACAAATCTTGTTTACTGTCTGAACGTGCAAACACTTTGATGTAAGTTTTGGTCTATCATATAAGCACAAAAAATTATAGGTTTTATATTAAGATCTATATGTTCTTTTTATCATTTTCTTATATTTTCAAATAGAGGAACGAGTAATGAAGGCAGAAGGTTGTTAGAAAAGGATGAGGTGACCTACCCTAGTTGAAGATAGAGTGCATGCCTAATCAAAATCGTGCTTTCTAAGGCGTTCCCTGTGACTCGGCATGGGGGACGGGGGCGGAACTAATGTCCGTAGCATTATCCGAGTGATTAGACAACGCTGACCGAGCAAAGCTTTCTTTAAGAGGCTGGACTGTACCCTTTTCGGTGGCCACCAATTATTTACATGTTGGAGCAAATGGGTATGGGAAAAGTTTCCTCGACGTAGATTCTCCAATCTCGCTTTAAATTAAACGAGTATGGGTGGGGCAAAAAGGAGGTAAGGTATAGGAATAGCGGGAAGCATACCCATCTTGCCCCACCCGTTTCCATCGATCCCTAATTTAATTGGGCATACATATAAATATAAAATTTCCGTGGGGCAAATGACCACCTACTTCTAATATAAAATTTTTAATCACGCTACGTCATCAATATTTTAAAATTATCTGTCTAGTTAATTTTTTAAGTCACTAAATTTATAATACGTATCCAAAACTTTCAAAATGATACAACACATATACATAGATCATGAAGCAAAGAATCTCATATAAGTTAACAATATCTTATATAGCAAAAATCAACATAAACACACCCCAGTTTACAATAAATTATTATACTCAACTAGAACTTCAAAACAAGTAGCTCTATTCCAAAGGGTCAAGTCGTCAAACAAGTGATCCAATACTTGTTCTAAGCAGAATAACTAATTGTTTGTTAATGAATCAATAATAGACGATTTTTTCTCCATCAATTATTTTCTTCTCAATTTTTGCAGTTATCTCACGCCCAAGCCGGATTAGTGCTGCCATTTCTAGACTATTTCTTCGGCAACGCTCTAAGCTTAAGCTTGAAAGTTGCTTGCAATTGGATAATATCAAGCGAAACCCAAAGTAGTCTACGACACATTTTTTCATACTTACCTTGTTATCAAACGACAATCATGCATTTTTAAGGAAACATCTTGTAACCTTAACGTTTTTAAGTTGTTGCATGTGGGGCCCACAGGCACAGCTCGTATATAGCCCCTCTTTCCCAAATATATCTCTTCTACATGTTTCCATATCTCCAATGCTCCTAAGAATTTCAATTTAAAGGCACGGGGCATCACAAGTCGTTTAAGTCCCGGTGACCTTCAAATTAAGGTACCCAAAACACAAGTTTAATTAACTTCCAAAGTTAAAGTAAAAATTTAGATACTAAAACAAAACAAATTAATTCAGAGTTAGACTTTAAAAGAAAAAAGAATTAAATAAGAAAAAAACAACAAAAGATAAACTATTCAGAAAAGTTTTCTTTTCCGATCTAAACTTTCTTTTACATTTTTTTTTTTTCAAAGATATTGTATTTTTTCGGCCAAAATCAAGTTTTGACCAAGAAAATACATCGACTTGTGTATTAAATGCGATTTGATAGTACATAAAGTAGGAATTTTGTTAGGTATTTTTATAAGTTGGTAATTTATTGACAATTTTGTAAAAATTCAAAAACAGGTTTAAGAAGATTGGGAATGCAAAAGAAGATGCAGAATCAACTATTGTGCAGATTCTTCGAGAAAATATCGTGAAGATATTCGAGAGAATATCTATGAGAGAGGATCGCGGAGATTTTATTTTGAGAGAAAATCGTGGAGATTTTATTTTGAGAGAAAATCATAGAGATTATGGAGATCTTCAAGATCGGATATGGTGTAATAAAAATCGTGGAGTTTTTTGTAGATTATTGAATGGCAAAATTTTGTGGAAATAATCTAAGAGAGCATCATAGAGAAAAAGAAGATCTTTGGGGGAGTGATTCTGGAGTCGCTTGGAAGGCTTATTTTAAGAGCTTATGTTCAGCTCACTTGATACGGATTTAATAGAAAATATCCAGAGCAAAGTCTGTGAGTTTGTGAGGGTTGAGTTTTATTGAAGTTCGTCCTTCAAGAGAGGGATTTGAAGTTTTCAGGAGAAAGCACTCTGCCAGTTGAAGGGAGTTCACTGAGCAAATTGAAGATGAGTGGTGCTCGCTAAACAACATCACTGTGGAGATTCGTCACAGCGACGTCATTGTCTATAAGGGAGTTTTTGAGTGAATAAGTCCGTCCGGTATCTGTAATTTTTTGGAACATAATGATTTGTTTACTGTCTACACGTAACCCCGCAGATATAGGTTTGTGAACTGAACTACGATATCATATATTGTGTCCTTTTATTTTTTACATTTTATTTTGTTCGAGCAATTGAACGTAGTTAATCTAGAACTTAATTAATCAACCAATGTTCCAGACTGTGTTACAACGCTATTTGTAACACTGACGTATAATCAGTTGTAATGGATTTAAATAAAAAAAAAATGCAGAAATAAATAGTTAAAAAAAATTCAATGCACATAGGGATAAAGATGACATACCGTTTAGCAAGAAAAGTTAAGTCAGTCACAAGAAAAATTCTCATCACCAATGATGGTTTTTATACACTTTTGATTGAGATTAAACGCATAATTGAGTGTATTTGGCATTAATCTCCATTTATCGTGGACATCAAGAAGATTACTTATATTGATTAGATCAAGGGTTTCCTCATCTTTCCAAACCAATACATGCCAACACACTGATCTCCATGAACGACAAACTAGAGAAACGACGAGAAATATTTCCTTTGGAGCAAAAGGTTGTTGTCCAAATCTTCCTACGAAAAATATCTTGCAAAAGGTTGTTGTCCAAATCTTCCTACGGCCTAGAATGATATTCTTCACAAGAAGTATTATTTCTTTTCTTCTCGCTGTTCATCCATGTTGAGCAAATTGTTTTCTCAAACAAAAACAACGCTCTAAAAATAATGTGAAACTCAGAGAATATAAGATGATGGATAAATCTATCACTCTAGGTCCTACCTTGACATAGGTAGTTTTCTGAATCTCTATCCCATTTCAAAAAAAAAAAAACCAAATCTTCTAATGAATAATATGATCACGTTACACGCGTACATCATCTACATTTTGATATTAGACTTTTAAGTTTTAAGTAGTTTATAATACTAATTATAACTTTTGGAATCACACGTACACATAGACATAGATCAAAGAAAAAATATCTCATTTAAGATAACATCTTATACATCAAAATCAACATAAAACACAAAGTTACAATAAACTATATACATATATAACTAGAAAATTCAAAAAAGTAGCTATTCCAAATAAAGGGCCAAACAAGTGAGCCAATACTAGTTCTAAGCTGAATAACTTGATTATGGAATCAACAGACCAACCAATAATTCCCTGCTCACAATCAATTTTCATCTCAATATTTACGGTTATGTAGGTCTCGTTCGTTTCGCAGATTTAAATTTTCAATTCGAGTTAAGATGTAATAATTTCTAAGAGCATTTAACTGCAACAGAAAAAGTTAGATATGATATTTTCTGAGAATTTTTAATTATAAAAACTTAAATCGATAAAATTAACCGGACCGTAATATCTAAGGATAAATCCCGGCTTCAGTAAGATATATATGCGTTTAATATTTGTATCCCGTTTTCGGCAACGCTCTATGCTTAATGTTAAAGTTGCATGCAATTGGACAATATCAAGACAATCTCAATTTTGTCTATGACACAATTTTTCATACTAATATCTTAACTTGGAGTCCAGATTTACTGACCTAACTTGACTGTCCTTTTAACTACTCTCAATAATATTTTGACACCTCATTCTCATTATAACTGCACACATTAAGAGTCTATTTGGTCCGATGATTCGTTCTCTTATTTAAATTATAGTTTATGGTTTACTACAATATTTTTTCTTATAAAAAATACACATAAATTAAAAATATTTCTAATATTATGATTCTAATTTATGAACCAAACGGACTCTAACTCTCTTCTTATTCTACCTCACACGGCATTAGAAACAGAAAAAAAGGACGTAGACGTCTTTGGACACGTTTTGACGTATAACTTCTTTTCCAATCATTTTTTTTTTATTTATCTGACACACTATAAAATGCAGACTTGCGGCACTATATCCAAATGGTACATCCTCCACTTTTTGATTTACCTTTTTTCTACAGCACTACCTTTTGGATGGGACTTTATTTAAACATTACACAATTATGTTTTTTTAATATATATAGGTAAAGTCTTCAGTCCGACACGTGTTGTTTATCGGACTGAAACGACAGTTATATAATTTTGTATAAATCGTATATATTTACATATAAAGTTATGTATATTTACATATAAAGTTGTGTATAAAGTTATAAAAAATAATAATGTATATTAATTCTCAAAATATGTATTTTTTATAACAATTAGTGAACACATAGCATGAAAATATGCATATTGGCTGAATTATTGTATTTCATGTTAAATATACACGACTTTACATGTAAATATATATGATTTTACATATAAATATACACAATTTATGCAGAATTATATAACTGCCGTACCAGTATATATATATTTCATTTAACAATTCTTTAGAATAAAAGTAAAACTCCTACATCAAAGCAGAATTTTCAATAGAAAAGAAAATATACTAGAATTGAACCAGATGATCATTTAAAAGCATCCAACTAAGTAGCAATATAAAATAAGAGTCTAATAAGGGAGTAGTTAAGCACTTTTGAACTTGAGTATTTGTAAAATATTTAACTAAATCTTTTCAAAAAATTAAATCCAACTAAATAGCACAAATGGTTTTTTTAATAAATTAAGAACGAATCATTTAAAGAGATTATCATTGAAGTTAAATCCTTGAAATGATAATGTTGTAGGATATAGCTCAGCCTATAAAAGAGAGAAAAAAGAAAGAAACAATAATATAAATTAAATAATATTCATTGTATCAAAAATAATTACAATCGTAATAAAAACATATATAATACATGTTTTAACAAT